TGTCGTAATTTGCAGGCTACCTGGCAGGCGCCGAGGACTATTACACACACAGCCATTGTGACTTTGACAATCCCTCATTATGTGGCCTTGACTTACTTGACAATACAAAGCCAGTGTTCACCGAGAATGGTCACTATTCAACGCATCTGTTTACGGAGAAGGCAATTGATATCATCCAGAAGCATGACAAGTCGAAGGTAGGTGCAGATTCCCTCGAGAATGTTTCATGTAGTTGTTACTGTAAATATTGAAATCAATGTAACAGTCTGCATGTAGTGACCTTGTATACAGTTCCATTGTCAGTGTATCGGTGTTTACTTTGTGATATTTTTCGTTTTGTCTCGAGCTGCGGGGTAGTCTAGTGGTTTAAGCATTGCCACGACAAAGACCCAAAGAGTCCGATTCCCCACATGGCTACAAGGTGTGAATCCCATTTCTGGTGTCCCCTGTCATGATGTTCTTGGAACAATATTGCGAAAATCAGCATAAAACCAGTCACTGATTTTGTTTCGTCATATATGATTTTGTTGTTTGTTTGCAGCCATTCTTCTTGTACCTGGCGTATCAATCTACACACACTCCCCTCCAGGTCCCCAGCCAATACATGAATCAGTACAGCCACATCAACGACACGAAAAGGCGAACCTTTGCTGGTAATATAATTACTCTTAATTAATAACATCGTCAGCCCATTTCTAATCGCACAGTGTGATTTTGGTTCTTGGCTACGAGAGCAATATTTCAGCTATATCATGGGAAGGGACACCAGAAACGGATTCACTCATTGTACCCATGGTGGGGACGAAACAAATAATGAATCCAAGTGATCAACGTGACAAGAGAACACTATAGTCACTATATACCACACTATGTTCCTTAATTCTGCCACCATATGGTTGGAATATTGGTGAGTGCGGTGTTAAACAACACACAAACCTTAATTCACCTTTGCAACTATACATGACTACAGCATATGAAATCCTTGGGTGCCCTATCTGTACATAACTGACAATGTTTTATACCATATTGCTATCAGTATTATCCATATCAAGGGTCTGTAGAACCTTTTCCGACCTTGATTTAAGGGAGACAGGTCTACTTGTCATAATTGTAAAGTATGACCAGAGTTGCCTCTTTTGGCAAACGAACACAGTCGGCAATGAAGACCACTATTGAAATGAGAGCGTTAGGGATAAAATGGAATATCTAAACAAGCATATTAACCTTATAGATCTTTTCGGAAGGGATAAGATATTGTCGCTTACCTGATTTTGGTATTTTCAACTTCCAGGCATGTCCACATGTATGGATGAGGGGGATTGGAAATGTCACTGCAGCTCTCAAGTCTTCTGGCCAGCTGGCGAATACTCTAATTGTATTTTCCGCTGGTAAGTGATGTTTTATCTGAGCAAAATCTCAAAGCAATGATAATTATCATACTAAAGTGGATAAAAAATGGAAGTTCTGAGTCTTTGGAGAAAATTTGCCAATAAATCAATTAAAGATTTCCTGTAAGTTTTCAGTTCGGATACTCGGTATTATGTTATGGATACTTTGGCTGTGTGCATGAGTCGGCAGTATTGTTGTGCCACATCGAGTAACGGGAAACTTTTTTTACATAAACTGGGTGAGTAACAGGTAGTAGTATACACAATGGGGCTACGGGACTAGGTCCCTCCCAAGGGCTCAATGGAGCTTAATTGAGCCCTTGGGAAGTCCCTAATCCCGTAGACCCATTGTGTATACTACTACTAAGGTGCATGCAAAATTTGATGAAAATCGGTTGAATAGTTTCTGAAATATTGACTTTTAAGTGAGCATGAGGTCAGTCGGGAAAAAGGCTCGGGTCGACTCGGGGGTGGTTGCTCCTCCGAGCGCTGTTGGCGGACGAGTCGCAGTGCGTGTGCGTGTGTCTCTCCCGGCTTGGTGTACGGGTGGCTGGCTGGCTGGCTACATTAAGCAGAAAAATAGGCATGCAAGACTGATAAAAATCATGACGAGAAACTATCATCACACGGTGGGTGATGTGTAAGGGACTGTGTCGAGAGGTACGATCATCAACTCCTCTCTGACGAATGCTCTCGGTGGTCCGTCTTTCAAGTTGTACAGTTTCGGTTCGCCATCTTTGATATCGACAAGGTCTACATTGTACGTTTTCATGGACCATATCGGATCGGTGGCACGTTTTCTCCTGTATCCCTCGTATTCTCCTGGCTGGTACAAGTACTAACGCTGACCCGGTCCGGTAATGTTTTCTCTGCATTATCCTACGTGCTGCTGCCGACGACGATTCGACAGATTTCATTTTGATGGCTCCGACGGGTCTCTTGCCCATGAGTCTGGTGACTTTGTTGTTGATGACATCCACCACTCGCGCTAAGCGTACGACCCAATCCGTGTTTCTGTTTCCGGGATCCATTAAATCCTGCGAGTATTGGTGCAAGAACAGGCGTTCGGCTAGGGTGCGATTGAATCTGTCAACGATGGCATGGCTACGGTGAGCTCCCGTTATACCTCGTCTCACTTGGACTTTGTGCTTGGCCAGCAGCTGCGACACGGCTCCCATGAACTCATGTCCGGGATCGACTTGCAATACAGTAGGCCATGTCAAGCGACTGCGTTTGTATATGCTTTCAAAGGCTTTGGCGACTTTGTTCGAATCTTTCGTTGTCAACGGTTCGGCTTCCTTGTAGTGACTGGCGACGTCAACGACGGTCAGGGTGTACTTGTAGGTTTTGCGCCTCACCCTGTCGTGGACGTCGGCTTGGTGGACGCGATTCGGCGTTGAAATGTCGAATTTTCTTCTCGGGATGTATCGGGGCACCGGCAGGTAGACTTGCCAGATGGCTTGTTTTTTAAGCCAGGCTTTGGCTTTCTCTTCCGTGCCTTTCCAGAACCCTCACGGGC